AATATTAAATTAAAATTTGCAAAACAAATTGTAAGTGCTGTAAGACATTTGCATGAAAATAAAATAATACATAGAGACCTGGTACATACATATAACATTACTTATTTATATCTAATTATTTTTTACATTTTTAATAGTAATAACTAACATTAATATTTTAATAGCATTCCAAAAATATTCTCATTCATAATGGAAATATTAAAATTTGCGATTTTGGAATCTCAAAATCCTTATTGGATCCTTCAATTGAGGTTTCTAAAAAATTGGGCTCAATAAATTACTCAGATCCACAATATTTAGGGAATATTGAAAATTATAGTTGCAATGATAAATCAGATATTTATAGTATTGGAGTGCTTTTATGGGAAATTTCAAGTGGTCATGCTCCATTTGCAGATAAGTCAATCAAATTCACTGATATAATTCTTGGCATAATATCAGGTGAACGTGAAGCAGTAATCAAGGGAACTCCAAGAAAATATGCAGAAATATATACAGGTAAGAATTACATAACCAATGGCTATAATTTTTCAATGGATAGTCTTGAAAATGTTTAATAATTTATACCAATATTAAAATTAAATAAATTTTATTTTTATAAAGCATGTTGGCAAGGAAACCCAGATCTCCGTCCTCATATTCATCAAGTTATGCAGGATTTGGACAATGTAGATATAACTAATACTATAGAAGATATTGTTAATTTAATAGATCAAACTAATAATGATGATTTATTATATTCATTATCAGCACAAATTGATAGTTTAAGCAACCATTTAAAGGATCTGGATAATGTAGATATAACTGACATTATTGAGGGTGTTAATCCAACAGATCAAACTAATAATAATGGTGATTTATTATATTAAACAGAACTTCCATTATCAGCATGAACTTATAGTTTAAACAACCATTTTATGATAAGAAAAGTAAGCAATTACACAGTATATGAAGTGTATAATATTTTAGTATTATTAAGCACACACACAATTATAGATATTATTATAGATGTATTATTATAGATTCCCCATTATGGATTTATTGTTATAGATTTATTATTTTTCGATTCATAACTTTTGAGCATTTTTAATTAATTATGCGAGCATTTGTAATATTTTGAGCATTTGTAATACTTTCGAGCATTTATAATAAAGCGAGTATTTGTAATAATGCGAGTATTTCTAATACTTTCGAGCATTTGTAATAATGCGAGTAGTATTTGTAATACTTTCGAGCATTCATAATAATAGCAAATGGCAAGTGGCAAGTGGCAAGTGGCATATGGATATTAATACTTTAATTACGTCAAAATTCATGTTTCATTTTTAAAACAATAAATAACCTTTCAACATTATCAGGTAATATATAAAAAATTTTTTTTGTACAAACGATTGATTAAATTTGTTACACAAAAATATACCTTAAAATATTTTTTTGACCAAATGTCTCGAAACCCGGTTTTCCTAGAGCGTCCCTAATATTATGATATGGTATGCCTGGATTGCTAATCAATCTTTTTGCAGATACAAACAGCGATAGCAGAAATTTTCTGGCTTTATTATGAGAATTTTTATTATTCTAAAGTTCAACATCATTTTTAACTTACAATGCTAAATATGATGAGATTTCATGCTGTTCATCATCAATATTATCATCAAACTGGCATTTCCTCTGTTTCAACTATAATATCGAAACTGTTAATTGAAGAATCAGAAGTTGTGGTTGTGATTGTGGTTGGTTTCGATGTTGAGGATTCTCAATTATTTTTTAACAGGTTAAATTGGCATTCCAATAACCATTTTTTGACCCACTGAACTCAAATGGTGAAGTCAAAGTTCCGAACAAGCCAAGCTCGAGTTTGATGTCACATGAATTTTTTTTAACGAATGATAATACCTTTATTTTATTTATGCATATTACCTAAAAATCAATTTAACAGCCTGTTTTTGAACTCGGCTCAAACTTGAAAATTCAAGTTCTAACTCGAGCCTGCCCAACTTAGAGTTTCTATTCGAATGAAACGAATGAAACATATGTAAATGTATGAAACAATAAACCGAATTCGAATTAAGATTACGAATAATTATAATCTGAATAAGACTTTGTGTTACTATTACTGTTACGAATAGAAAATTGTTTTTTATTATTATTATCTTCTATCCTCCTACAAGTATTGTCTTTGTTTGAACAAATGGAATTTTTTTTTGTCATCCTAAGTTAATTCAGATGGACAAATTTCGACTAAGTTCCATGCCATTGAATTCTGCACTAAAATTCCTGACGTAAAAATGAATGTTAAGAGAAAATTATTTTATCATCTTGGCTGGTTCATATCACTAATTTTTAAAATAAATTATGTTATTAAATATTAAATATTATAATGCAGGTGTTAGTTTTGGAATGCGGATGGTCCAAATTTTGGTCTGCATATTTTATAAATAAGTAATACATCATCAAATACTCCTGTGATTAAGGTCATATATAATAGTAAGTGGTGAGAATAAAGATCCAGTGTTTCACGAAATTAACCATAGTCAGAAAATGTAATAAATAATTTTTTTTGAGAAGAAAATTTAATTGTATTTATTTATATATACGTGCAAAAAGACACACATGATATTAATATTATACCATATTAATGATTTTTAAATAATTGATGAAATTTTATACAGTCAAACCTCGTTTCAACGAATTTCTAAATTCGTTAAAACGTAACTAGTAATTTTGGTATACAATTTCTTATCAGTTATGTGTTCCATGGATTCATTGAAACGAAGTTTGAATGTATCTATTATTACATTTAGCTGATAATACAACCAGAAATGTTGACTTTTTTCATTTCACTCATTCATTCATTAAAAAGAATTCATTGATATAGATTTGTTTCCTTCAAAAAACGGATCTACGTTTAATATTAAATGACTAATTATTGTTACGTGACCATTAAAAATATTCTAGATAATGGTATGATTCCTATTGAATATATAACATTGTATCAGTCAATATTTGTTTCCTTAAAAAAAAAAACGGATCTATAGTTAAATGGCTAATTATTGCTACGCGATCAAAAATATTCTAGTTAATATTACTAATGGTAACAGGTAATTAATGATACTATCATTGATAATAATAATTATTATATATAACAAACATTGTATTAATATTTGTTTTCTTCAAAAAACGGATCTAAGTAACTAATTATTGTTACGCGACCAAGGAAAAAATTTAACATCAACATCAAAATATTCTAGTTCCATTGTATATTTGTATTAGTAAAACAAGCTGAAACACAAGTTATTTTTATTTCTAATTTAAAATGTTGGGGAATTGTTATTCGCACCCCTCCCGTGACTAAGTGTATTAATGTGACCGATGAATGGCTTTAAAATGTGATGATTTTATTGGTTCATCTTTGTCTTAGTCACGGGAGGGGTGCGAATAA